CTGTTTCGTAGGACTTCAGTGATAACTACCTACAGGATGGTACTGCAGCTTGCCCCATGTCACTACAACTACTACTACTGCCGCTGTCACTCCGTTTGGTTCACGCGTAGCGCAACAACGCCGCCTTTGTCTTCCCTTGCACTGCCACTCTCTACTGAGAATGAGATTGTGCGAAAAACACCGCTTGAAGGGGTTCATTTGGTAATTTTGCAATGAAAAAAAATCTCTAAAAGTTCATCTCCGGTTGTTAATTTCTCTCTCACCTTATGAACGACAACCGATTGACACGACTCTGCCTCTTTGTGTATACACTGTGCCTATCTCTGCTATATACATTTATTTATTCAAGAAGATATATTGGTTACAATCTTTTTATCATATTAAAAAAACCCATGGTAAAACATGTTTTTCGTAGGCCCTCCGCTCAGTGCCTCCTGTGGCCTATTAGATAATACCACTCTGGTGGGTAGGTGAGTGGGTGGGTGAATGAATGAGTGGGTAGGCGGGTGAGTGGGTGAGTGGGTTGATGAATGAGTGGGTGAATCAGTGAGTGGGTGGGTGAATGAGTAAGTGGGTGGGTGGATGCATGAGTGAGTGGGTGGGTGAATGAGTGGGTGGGTGGGTGAATGAATGAGTGGGTAGGCGGGTGAGTGGGTGAATGAGTGAGTGGGTAGGTGGGTGGGTGAGTGGGTGAATGAGTGAGTGGGTGAGTGAATGAGTGAGTGAGTAGGTGGGTGGGTGGGTGAGTGGGTGACTGAGTGAGTGGGTGGGTGGGTGAATGAGTGGGTGGGTGGATGCATGAGTGAGTGGGTGGGTGAATGAGTGGGTGGGTGGGTGAATGAATGAGTGGGTAGGCGGGTGAGTGGGTGGGTGAATGAGTGAGTAGGCTTACTGTGGCCTATTGGATAATATGGCCTTGATAGACACATACATACAAGCCGTCGCAATCTCACGGCCGATTTCATCGTTCCATCTCCGCGCTGCACGTACTCCCAGGTACGTTCCCCCGCCCTTTGGACTGCCAGTCTGTCGCTAGCCTCTCCTCGCCAGCTCCGTCGTCCTGACCAATCCCAAGTCAGTCTTGCCCCACCAGCCCACCCCCCCCCCCTCATTCACCAACCCGCATGGTGAAGTATGGTCAAAACAACCCTCGTGACCGATACAGTGTAAGGGCACCTTGATCCAGCAGTAAGATTGACAGAGATGTCCATTCATCATCACCCGTGGTCAATCCACTGCTGGATGAACGCCTCCGCACCCCCCTACCCACCCAAGCCGCCACCATCTCTCGCAATCCTGCGATGTAAATAATCATCATCATCATCACTTTTTTTTTACAATTCATTTCAACGCCGCTTAAAAGACGTTCGTGCGTCTGGCCACGCAAGGACATGGTCTCTGCAGCGCGCCAACGATCGATGTGCCGCGCCGACAGCAAACCGTTCCCACGGAGCGTTTGCCGGGCACCGCGGCGTTTCCAGCGGAGCGCCAGTTGAATCATTTGGCGGGACCCCTGGGGTCCCGCAAAAATCAGGTCAATAATAATAATTATTATTATTATTTTTCAGTCCGCCCGCTCGTGATCCCGACAAGAAGTACTTTTCGATCCCCGCCGATTGCCTCGACTACTCTCCAGCCATCACGCACAATCTCGTCGCCGAGTTGGGCGACGCCAGCAACGAGCCGCCCGCCCAGACTCGCCGCGCCAACAAGCGCCAGCAGCAGCAGCAGCAGCAGGCGGCGATCAACACGACGGGCGCCACCCCCACCGGCCAAACGCGAGCCCCGGGGGGGGGGCGTCCGCCGCAGTCGCGCGCGGCGACGACGCCCTCCGGTCAGCCGTCGATCCTCAGCTTCTTTGCCAATGCGAGCCCCGCCTGCCCCCCCCCGGGCAGTGAATTCAACGAGGCCAATTGATTGACCGCTAGTTTTGTTGTTGTCGGTAAGGTAACAAGACTCGTGTCGCTACGAGGTTTTTCCCACCCCGGGGCAGTGTGATGGGGGACCCCGAGGTCCCGCCAATTGCTTCAAATTGTTGAAAAGAAAAAAGAACCCCACAAACTTCTGCACGGTCGACGTCGCTCTTTGTCGGTTCCTCCCCCCCAGCCGCCCCCCCCCTTCCTCTTCTCCCACCCACCCCCACCCGTGCCCCCCACCTCCCGCCCCCACACCCCCCACCGTTTCACCGCAGACCACCGCAGACGCTCAGAATTAACCGAGCGGGAAAGGGGAGCGCTAAACGCGAGCGGCGTGTGCCCGATCCGCCGTTCGCTAATCGTCCCGCGTTAAACAGCCGGGGAGGTTTTTTTCGCCGAGCCGAGAAATCGCTCGGTGTGGGGGGGGGGGGAAGGGGGGGGGCGGAGGACGTGGGGGGGGGGCAGATAAACAAAACCGGCGAGCAAAGCAGAACGAGCAGCCCAGCCGTTTCAATTAGCGCCTTCGCCGCGGGCCCAAGGCCGCACGCCGCTTAATTGGCTCTTTGGAAACGGCGACGACGGCTCAACCCGAAATTGACGATAAAAGCGCAAGGCAAACTTTCTTGCAGCGGTGGTAGAGAACCGGGCCTGGCCCCCCCCCCCCCCGCCCTTGCCACGCCACACTAGTGACACGTTCCATGTCGTCGCCGTCGATAATGGGAGAAGCACGTGGTGGTGGTGGTGGTGATGGTGGTGGTGGGATTAGTTGGTGGCACGCCGTTCCGTCATAACAAACGTGGGCTTTCCTGCTGTTGTTGTTGTTGCCTGCTCATTGATATTGTTTCTCTAATTGCCTCCTGGGTGGGGGAGGGAGGGAAGGGGTGGGGAGGGAGGGACCTGGTTTTGGGGGGGGTGAATTTGTCCGAACGAAGACGTTTAATGCGTAACGCCTTCACACCCGCAGGCGTTACCGCGCGGCGTTTTCTCAGTCGCCGTGTTTGGACCGCGACGGGCATCCGACGAGGCGATTTATTTGACACTTCCCCCGAGAAACGCGTCCGGGGATGCAGGCGGAGACACGGGGGGGGGGGGGCAAAAGGAACCCACGAGACGCAGGGAGGCCACGGGCAGCGGAGATCCACGGAGAGGACGAAGGGGCAGGAAGGGGCAGGAAGGGGAAGAGAGACTCAAGAGACACGGGGACACAGAGACTCAAGAGACACGGGGACACAGAGACACGGGGACACAGAGACACGGGGACACGGGGACACAGAGACACGGGGACACAGAGACACAGGGACACAGAGACACGGGGACACAGAGACACGGGGACACAGAGACACGGGGACACAGAGTCACGGCGACACAGAGACACGGGGACACAGAGACACCCCCGCCTCCCTCGTGGTCGCTGCGAACTCGCGAGCAAAACTTGCCCCGTCAGTGTGTGTGTGACGCACACACACACTGACACACACACTGACACACACACTGACACACACACACTGACACACACACACTGACACACACACTGACACACACACACTGACACACACACTGACACACACACAGTGACACACACTGACACACACACTGACACACACACTGACACACACACACTGACACACACACACTGACACACACACACTGACACACACACACTGACACACACACTGACACACACACACTGACACACACACTGACACACACACTGACACACACACTGACACACACATACATACAGTGGCACACACAGACACACACACTGACACAAAGACAAAGATCCCCCCTGTATAGCCTTAACAGACTGTAGGGGCAAGTGCTGTTAGCGAGCACCTATGAAGGCCGGAACGGTACACGAGGGGGTGGGTGGCCAGCACCACGTCCGACCGCCTTTGTCTCCCTAGTGGCGATGTTCACACATCGCACCAGGTACTGATTTGAGGCTGAGTCGACCTAGGGGAGGCGCGGGACCGGTTCAGATAATCTTCACTGGTGTTGGCCGTGAGCGAGAATCGAACCCGTGTCGCCGGGTTCATAGCGCAGTGCGCTAACCGCTACACTACCACTCCTCACACACTGACAAACAACACTAACACCCACACACTGACACACAGACACACATACAACAACAACCGCCATTCGCCACTAAGTAGCGGTGACGTCACTACGACGCTTGTGCCAGGCTATGTGCACCTTGAGGCCACGTGAAGTGTCGAACGCCCGCTGGCAGGAGGTTACGGGGCAGACCCAGATGCCACGGGTCGACTGACTCAGATGATTGGCTGATGCACCACCTGTGCCCCTTACTGTGCCAACTTGCTGTGCTTTAGCCACCCGGCGCTCCACTCATTGTTGTGAGCTTCGATCCTCCGCTCTCCGTTGTTGTTGGAGGGCGACTGCCTCCAACTGCCCAGTTGCGTGCTTTATGAGCCTCCTCCACAGAGGCCGATCTTGACACCGCTGGTACCAGTCATCGGCAAGTCCACTCAGCTCCACGTCCTCCTGTACCACGTCACTCCATCTCTTCTCTAGCGCGTGCCGTGCCCGTTTAGCCCCCTCGATCCGGCCGAACAAAAGCTGTTTAGGCATGCGGTGGCTGGGCATGCGGGCTACATAACCCAGCCAACGCAGCCTTGCCTGCCGGAGGAGCTCACCGATGGGACCTTGCCCAGATTTTTCAAGGATTTGTGAGCTCCTCACACAATCCAGCCTGGTTAAACCCAGGATGGATCGTAGGCAGGCTAGCCTAAATATTTCTAACCGGCGAAGATGTTCCATTAAGGGGGTCCGCGTTTCGCAAGCATAGAGAAGGGAGGGAATGACCGCGGCCAAGAAGACCTGAAGCTTAGTGCGGAGCGACAGGCCAGGTAGCCTTGACCAGGTCAATAAAGCAGAGATGTAGGTCTTGCTGGAATTCCCTACACCTCTGCTGTAGCAGACGGACAGAAAATATGGCATCTATGCAGGACCGCCCTTTCCTGAAACCGCATTGGGGCGCCGCAAGCCTCTCCTCAGTGTGTCTGGCACACAGACACACACACACAAACACACTGACACACACACTGACACACACTGACTCACCCTCCGGTCTGAACTGCGCCACGATGTTCACGGTGGCGCCGGCTCCCTTGAGGGCGGCGGCCGCCTGCTCATGCGTGGCGCTGCTCAGGTCAATCCCGTTCACCTGGGCGCACAGAACGAGGTGGTGGGGGGGGGGGCGGCAAAACAGACAGAGGTGTCGTTGAGCGTGGAAGTTAATCGCGCCACGGTGGCTAGGATATGTTAATTCCCTCGCCTGGTACGCAGGAGGTCGTGAGTTCGATCCCGACAGTGACGCCTGCTGTATATTTGTGGTTTGCGTTTCGCTCTCTCTCTCATCATCATCACGGTGGCTAGGAGATGTTAACTACCTCGCCTGGTATACAGGAGGTCGTGGATACGATCCCGACATTGACGCCTGCTGTTGTATATTTGGAGTTTGCGTGTCTCTCTCTCTCTCTGTCCGCGTAGATTTTTTTCTCCGCATCCCCTGGTTTTTCCCTCCACATTTAGAATCGACGACACGCGTTCAGAGTATTTGGCCGCTATAAATATCCACGTGATGATAAGCCGCTTCCGTTGAGCTGTCATTTGTGACACTTCTGGAAAAAAAAATAGCTGTATCGCTCAGTGGGCCTTAACCTGGTGAAATAAAAAATAAAGTAAAAAGTAATCTTCCCCGAGCTGACTTGCGCTGCAGGGTCTGTACGATTTCAAACGGTGATTTTTTTTTCTTTCCCGTCGCCGTGATATCTCCGCTTTGGTCACGGCGACGCCGGGTGTCTGTTCCGTGCTCGGGGTTTTACTTTTTTTTTTCGTCTTCGTTGCCGTTTTTTGTTGCTGCTGTTTCGATTCCGCGGCTCTTGTGTGTCGTGCCGGCGAGCGCAGGTCACGCACGCTCGCAAATGGCGACTCCTCCGGTCCTGGGGTTTCCTTTTCCCCGGGTTCTCACCCCGGTAGGGAGCGAATTATAAACCGCGGGGCTTGAAACGGGGCCACCAAGACAGACACGAAGCAACGATTGACGGGCAAGGTGAACGTGCGGTCGGCGATAACGGCGTGCCGCCTTCACAGGGCGGAAGAAGTGCGATGAGGGCGGGGAGGGGAGGTAGGGGGAGACGAGAGGGGAGAGGCGAGAGAGTGCGTGGAGGGGAGTAGAGTGAGATGAGAGAGGTAGGAGAGTGTGTGGAGGGGAGTAGAGTGAGGGGAGAGGCAGGAGAGTCTGTGTGAGGGGAGTGGAGTGAGAGGGGAGAGGCAGAGTGTGTGTGGAGGGGAGTAGAGTGAGGGGAGAGGCAGGAGAGAGCGTGGAGGGGAGTAGAGTGAGATGAGAGGGGAGAGGCAGAATAGTTGGTGGAGGGGAGTGGAGTGAGAGGGGAGAGGCAGAGTGTGTGTGGAGGGGAGTAGAGTGAGATGAGAGAGGAGAGGTAGGAGAGTGCGTGGAGGGGAGTAGAGTGAGATGAGAGAGAGGAGAGTGCGTGGAGGGGAGTAGAGTGAGGGGAGAGGCAGGAGAGTCTGTGGAGGGCAGTGGAGTAAGAGGGGAGAGGCAGAGTGTGTGTGGAGGGGAGTAGAGTGAGGGGAGAGGCAGGAGAGAGCGTGGAGGGGAGTAGAGTGAGATGAGAGGGGAGAGGCAGAATAGTTGGTGGAGGGGAGTGGAGTGAGAGGGGAGAGGCAGAGTGTGTGTGGAGGGGAGTAGAGTGAGATGAGAGAGGAGAGGTAGGAGAGTGCGTGGCGGGGAGTAGAGTGAGATGAGAGAAAGGAGAGTGCGTGGAGGGGAGTAGAGTGAGGGGAGAGGGGAGAGGCAGAATAGTTGGTGGAGGGAAGTGGAGTGAGAGGGGAGAGGCAGGAGAGTCTGTGGAGGGGAGTGGAGTGAGAGGGGAGAGGCAGAGTGTGTGTGGAGGGGAGTAGAGTGAGGGGAGAGGCAGGAGAGAGCGTGGAGGGCAGTGGAGTGAGATGAGAGGGGAGTGACAGGCAGGGCCGTGTCCCGTGAGGGATCTTCAAGACGGTGACTGCGAACTTGAAATTGATCTGGGATTGGTTTGGGCCCCAGTGGAGGGGTCGCAGCATTGGGGTGACGTGATCTCATTTATGGTCGAGGGTGAGAAGTGTGACAGGGGCATTTTGGAACCAATCCGGAGTTTGGGGATAAGGGATTACGGGGGGGGAAGGGGGGGGAGCGGGGGTGGGGTCGAGGCAGTAGAGGAGAATGTTGAGAGAGTCGAGTCAGGGATGCCATGAGGGCACAGATTAGGATGCCGACAAACGTTTGACACGCGCGAACTTTATCCCGAGTCGAACCCAGGGGAGAGGCCCATGCAACACACTGGCCCGCGGGCATTGCTCATCCGCATCAGGATTTGAAGATGTGCAGCACGTGGGATTGTGGTGCAGCGTACTCACGATGACGCCTGTGACACTCATGCGTACAAAGACAAAAGGTCCCCCCTCCCCCCATATAGCCTTTGACGGCCTGTTGGGGCAAGTGCTGTTTGAGATGACCTATGAAGATCGGCGTGGCCTTCATGAGTGTGCTGCTGCTCACCAGCGTTCTAAGTGTTCACGAGAGGTTTTTTTTTTTGGGGTTCGATCGTGTAAATATACAAGTGCCGTTAAACCCAGCCACCACCCGACGCAGCCAATTGGTAAAGGTTTGTCTCCCAAAACAGAACATGCCAATTCGTTGCGGATACAGCAAACCTGCTGTGTGTTGGAGAGTAAAAACCACAACATTTACAATTCTAGTAGCAGTGACGTTTCGCCGGCAATCACAAGTAACACACAATCGGTGCGCTCAACTCGTAACTAATGGGGAAGTTTTGTTCACGTGACAAACCTTACTAATTGGCTGTGTCGGGTGATGGTGGCGTATTTACCAACACGTGTATTATTTACGCGATCTATTAATTATTTTGATTATAAGAAAAAAACTTATGGAAAATATTGGTCGCGTTATAAGACTTACAATATTCGTTCGCATTGGACTTATTTCTTCAAAAATGTTTCTATTTTTTTTCTCTCCCCCCCCCCTCCGCCCACCCTGGACGCTGCAATCGCTATCGGCTCGCAGGAAATTTCAGTGTCGGGAACCAGGCCGGACAAAAAAGAAAAGCGAGACCGAAAATGAAATACGCAATTAAATCCTACGTCATCTTGTGGGGGCGAGATGTTGGATCCCACCGGGGGATTGATTCATAGGTGCTGCACCCCCCCCCCCTGCCCACCCCCCGTGCCCCACCCCCTCCCCACCCCTGCCCCCACCGGTGCTGAAACACCTCTCTCACATCAGCATCTCGAATGAACAAACACCGAGGCGAACATTCCCGATTGAATATTAATTGTGCGCACACACACACAGACAGACACATCATATCTATATATAACGCGGAACCAGCTCAGCGGGCCTTACCTGGCGAAAGACAAATAGTTCTTCCGTATTTACATTATGAGACCTCCTTTGCCAGTAACAAGATATAGTAATAGGTTTTACCCTTTATTATCAGAGTTATTATCAGAGTTGTCTCTTTTGTTTGCATTTTGACTGCTTGTGCTGTGGTTATTGCAAACATGATGCCTTGAATAAAGGTGTCAGTTTTTGTGCCAGTTAAAAGGGTAAAACCTATTACTATAGTTCGTCCGTAGTTAATCTATTTAGACGTGTGTGTGTAAGCTAGGGGGGTTGCCTTGTTATATTATTTTTCTCGATACGAAACCACATCGAGCGTCGATTGTACGGAAGCATTGCGCGTGGACACTGCGCCGGGGCAGAATGTTGAAGCGAAAAAGCTCGTTTATTTTTTTATTCTATCGTCCACGACGGGGTCATCGGTGATCAGAAAAATCCGAAGGGGAAATTTTTATTTGCTAGGACGGACGAATAAACGATACACATTTGGAGCTGACGCAGCTGTATGCGGGGTGGGGGGGCGGGGGGGGGGGTGGTGGCGGTGGGGGTGTTGGGGTAAAAAAAAAACAGCGTGAGCAAGAGGTCTGTTTGGTGAAAAGGTCGTTGGGATTTTTGTGTTTTCATCAAATTGCCCATTACTTTTTCATATATTTGATTTCAATTCTCTTCCTTTGTTCAGGACCACGTGTAAGGGCCCCCCCCCCACCCCAATTCGGGCAAAATAAATTACCTGAGGTCGGGGGGGGGGGCAAACAAAGGTTCTGGTACTGGTGGAGCAATTTAAAATTTCGAATTAATGATAAACAAGACTGAGGAAACTTGATGGGAGTCAAACAGGTTCCCGTCATCGTCATCACGATCCATGGGCAGATAGCCCGTAGGTGTCCACTTCGTCATTTGTTTCAACTTTCCTCTCTGTATTGTGGTTCCATTATGCTCAATTAGTGCACATCAATGTAGTTATTGTATAGTGTATAGCGTAGTGTATAGTGTAGTTTAGAGTATAGTGGTGTATTGTATAGTGTATAGCGTAGTGTATTGTATAGCGTAGTATATAGTAGTGTAGTGTATAGGGTAGTGTGTAAGGGTAGTGTATCGCGTAGTGTATAGTGTAGTGTATAGTGTAGTGTGTACGGTAGTGTATAGTGTAGTGTAGAGTATAGTAGTGTATTGTATAGTGTATAGCGTCGTATATAGTAGTGTAGTATATAGTAGTGCAGTGCGTAGGGTAGTGTGTAGGGTAGTGTGTAGGGTAGTGTATAGCGTAGTGTATAGTATAGTGTGTAGGGTAGTGTATAGTGTAGTGTATAGTAGTGTATTGTATAGTGTATAGCGTCGTATATAGCAGTGTAGTATATAGTAGTGCAGTGTGTAAGGTAGTGTGTAGGGTAGTGTATAGCGAAGTGTATAGCATAGTGTGTAGGGTAGTGTGTAGGGTAGTGTATAGTGTAGTGTGTAGGGTAGTGTGTAGGGTAGTGTGGAGGGTAGTGTATAGCGTAGTGTGTAGTGTAGTGTGTAGGGTAGTGTGTAGGGTAGTGTGTAGCGTAGTGTGTAGCGTAGTGTGTAGGGTAGTGTGTAGGGTAGTGTGTAGTGTAGTGTGTAGTGTAGTGTGTAGTGTAGAGTGTAGGGTAGTGTATAGCGTAGTATGTAGCGTAGTGTAGGGTAGTGTGTAGGGTAGTGTGTAGTGTAGTGTGCAGTGTAGAGTGTAGGGTAGTGTATAGCGTAGTGTGTAGGGTAGTGTTTAG